CCCCCCCCCCCCCCCCCCCCACAAAAGTGGTGATCCTCTTCAAGACATACTTATGCACAGATAAAGCCTGCAACCAGAAGGATTCCACCCCTTTAATGACAGATCTGGTTGTCCAGCGTAGGAGAGGGTCTTGGAGTTCCAAGGATGAAAAAAGTCACCAATCTTCTCAATGCGTGGGTATAGTCCCCTTTGCCCTCTGCAAGGCTATTGCGACCCCGAGATATTGTACTTGTAGGGTACCCAGAGGGTAGTCAACTATACGCAAGATGCCATCGTACTCATCACCAACAAGGCCTGCCAGGAATATTTGGACTTCTGGGGGTTGACCCGAAGTCCAGAGGCTGCAGAACGTAAAGCATCAACAAATATGTGCACAGACATAAAGTCGCACAAGAGAAAAGCATAATATCATTCGCTAAGGCAAAGTCTGAGATCTCGAGTTGACCACACTGGGGGGTGGAAGTTAAAAGCCGGGTCTGCAGTCCTGACCCAAAAAAGAGAATGCCATGGGATCTCCTTGTCTGAGTGCCCTCTTTCTTTTGGAAAACCCATGCAGACCACCATTATGGGATATAGAAAAGGAGACCGTGGTAACACACTCCATAACCCAGTCAACAAACCTCAAAGGAAAGGCCATCCCGAACATCACCACACGAAGGTACTCCCAGGAAACGATGTTGTAAGCTTTAGTGTTGTCAAGCTTAAGCATACATATGGGGGGAAGCCTCTTCACAGCATTCTCTTTGACCAACTGTTGAGCCAGAAGTACGTTGTCAACCAAGCTCCGTCCTCCAACAAGTGCAGCCTGGGCACGATCAATAATAGTATGCAGCAGACAAGACATCCTCTTTGCCAAAATTATGGCAATAACTTTGTAAACTACATTAGAGCATGAAATTGGCCGAAAGTCCCTCACGGTAGGGTCATGTAATGTCTTTGGGATGAGAGCTATCACGGAATGGTTGAGTTGCTTGTTTTTATATTAGTATTGGTTGTGCTGTTGTAAATGATGTTATTATTATAAGGTAAACTGCTAATTCCATTGGGATATTGGATTCAGAATGATAACTGAAACCTAACTTATGTTTTTGACATTTTCTTACTTTTATCTAGATCCTTGCTTTATCATCACGGGATCTCAAGACTAGTGATAACATTGAGAGTGCTCTGAGTGGTCCAGGAGCTGAGACAACAATGCATTTTGGTGGAGATGAGGAAAACATGGTCTCTAGTTCCAAAAGCCAATCTGCTGAGAGTTTTGCTTCTGTTAATGCCCACATTTATTCCAAAGGCAAGCACCTGAGATATCGGACAAAGGTTTTTGCCGCTGAGTAAGACAACAAACATTTCCAGTGTGTTCTTTTATGTTCATAAATTTTTGCATGAGAAAGAATGGTCATGCAACTTTTCATTCTTCAATTCAGATGCTTGGGTCATATACCGGAGGCTGTTGGAAAGAGTCCTGCTCATTTTGACCTTGATGTAGCGAGACAGAAGCCTCCAAGCGGACATCACTTTGGTGATTGGCTAGTTCTTCATTTACATGAGCTCATTTCACTGGCTTATCAGGTGAGAGAAAAATTGATTGCATCTTTAACTGGTTTCCTTGCTATGAAATTTCTAAAATATCTCTCGGAATCACTTGTAGATTAGCACCATTCAATTTGAGAACATGCGGCACATTGGTGTATCACTCCTTAGTACCATCGTTGACAAGGTAATGCTGTCATTTAGCTATTAATATGGTTGATGATTATATTTAAGAGGGTCATTGCTCTAAATTTTATAAAGATGTATTTTTTCATTTAGTTATTAGTTCCTTATTTGCCTTTTGATCTTTTCATTTGCATCATCATAAGCATTTTCTTGGATGTAATATTTTTTATAATATTTTGTTAGTTTGAAACTGTCAAGGATCCCGAGCTTCCTGGACACCTCCTTCTAGAGCAATATCAGGTCATTAAGTTAACTCATCTTTTTTCCACCTTTTTCTTGGTAAAATTCTTGTTTAACATACTTAATATTGGTTTGGGCTTTTACACATACAAAAGTTACAATTTCATAACATTTGCATGCACTGTGCTGGCTTAAATTTTAAGACATTCTTACTTTTTGTGAATTTTTGGGAGTAAATGCATTAAGGGTCTAACCGAAACAACCTCTCCTTTTTACTGGGGTAAGGTTGCATATGTATGGACTGTCTAGACCCAACTGAGCTGAGATTATACTGAGTTAGCTATTGTTGTTGGTTTGATAAGTATTAGCCTTTTTTGTCAATGATTTTTTATAAAGTGTTGGTAGTAACTAGTAAATGCATTAAGAGTGTAACTGAAACAACCTTTCCTTTTTTACTGGGGTAAGGTTGCATACGTATGCACTGTCGAGACCCAAAAGAGCTGAGATTATACTGGGCTAGCTATTGTTGGTTTAATAAGTATTAGCCTTTCTTTGTTTATGCTACAATGATGAATTTATGATGACTTGTGCGGTTGAGGCCACAAATGCAAACATTCGTTTTTTTGCGGAAATCACGAATGGCGACATTGAGGAAGAAATCATTGATCCAATTATTTTTTATCTCAGCATGTGATTGCAGAACTCTGCATTTTATTAACCATGCAAATTCTGGCAGCCCAATCAGGGGTTGTTATCACATTTCTGTCCAACTTGGGAAAAACCTACTTTTTGTAAATGAATGTTTGGCTGTTATTTTTGGGTTTCTGCCAAGGTGGCTAAGCGCTGGGGGGAGTACTTTTGTGAACTCTTAAATGCGGGAGGAGAGCAGAGGCTAGTTCTTGATGAGCTGGGGCAATCTGGGGCGTCTCGTGTTTATTGCCGGCGCATTTGCCTGGAAGAGGTGGTTCGGGCTCTCCGCGGGATGCGTAGTGGGAGAGCTTTGGGACCAGATGAGATTCCGGTGGAGTTCTGGAAGCATGCGGGTCGTGGTGCGTGGGTTTGGTTAACCAAACTCTTCAATGTTATCTTCCGGACAGCAAGGATGCCAGATGAGTGGAGGGAGAGTCTCTTGCTCCCCCTGTTTAAAGGCAAAGGTGACATCCAGAGCTGCGAGAATTACAGAGGCATCAAACTGCTTAGCCACACCATGAAGGTTTGGGAGCGAGTCATTGAGTATAGGGTGCGGAAAGGGGTATGCATCTCTGAGAACCAGTTTGGTTTCATGCCTGGCAGATCAACTACAGAGGCCATTCACCTCGTGAGGAGGTTAATGGAAGAGTATAGGGCTAGGAAGAAGGACCTTTATATGGTGTTCATTGATCTCGAGAAGGCGTACGATAGGGTGCCAAGGGAGGTCTTATGGAGGTGCCTTGAGACGAGAGGAGTTCCCATCGCGTATACTCGCGCGATCAAGGATATGTACGATGGGGCTATGACTAGGGTAAGGACCTTCGGGGGCGACTCTGAGTCATTCTCGGTAGGGATGGGGTTGCACCAGGGGTCTGCCCTTAGCCCTTTTTTGTTCGCCTTGGTGATGGACGTCCTAACTCAAGGTGTGCAAGAAGGGGTCCCATGGTGCATGCTTTTCGCGGATGATATTGTGCTTATCGACGATACACGTGAGGGACTAAACGATAAGTTGGAACAATGGCGCCTTGCCCTTGAGACTAAAGGGTTCAGAATAAGTAGGAACAAGACTGAATACATGGAGTGTCGTTTCAGCGGCAGAGAAACAGAATCAGAGGTGGAAGTTAGGATTGACTCTCACCTAGTACCTAAGGTAGACAGGTTTCGATATCTTGGCTCGGTAATCCAGGCTGATGGGGAGTTAGACGGGGATGTTGGACATCGTGTTGGAGTGGCTTGGGCCAAATGG